ATTGCAGCACCTTGAATTTCAGCTTTTGATTTCAGTTTCCTATCATTGTGGATCTTCTGATGCCTGTAAAGAGTTGACGACTGTGAAAATGCCTTCCGACACGCAGGGCACAGGAATGGCTTCACGCCCGTGTGTGTTCTCTGGTGGTTTTGAAGAGTTGATGCCTGTGAAAATGCCTTCCCACACACAGAGCACGGGAATGGCTTCTCGCCCGTGTGTGTTCTTTGGTGGTTTTGAAGAGTTGATGACTGTGAAAATGCCTTCCCACACACAGGGCACAGGAATGATTCTCACCCGTGTGTGTTCTCTGGTGGTTTTGAAGAGTTGATGAACGTGCCAAATCCTTTCCACACACAGAACACAGGAATAGCTTCTCGCCCGTGTGTGTTCTCTTGTGACTCTGAAGATGTGATGACCGTGCAAATGTCTTCCCACACACAGTGCACAGGAACGGCTTCTCGCCCGTGTGTGTTCTCTGGTGTCTCTTAAGACTTGATGACCATGAAAATGCCTTCCCACACACAGAGCAATTGAATTGTTCCTTGCTTCCGTGTGCGTGGGGCTGTGGAGAGCGTCTCTGCTCCATGTGAGCGTAGTAACAGCAGCGGTGTTATCGAGTCAAAAGTACGCTATCGGTCGCAAGGATGTTTAGCGTCGAGTTTTGGATTTTGTTAACTGCTAAAACAAGAACGACGCTCGCGTCTAAACGAGACGCAAAAAAATCCCGTAAATTTGACGACGGTCACGTTTAAGATTTTATCCGCGAAAATAGATACTTACTTGTAGATTCACGATATATATCGGTGTCTGAAACCCGTCTGAAGATGTCGCCACGAAACTCTCCGAAGCAATTGTGCTCGCCAGGCTGCGTTGTCTCGCGGTTGAAGGGCGATCAGCAGAGCGACGAGTCGAGCGTCCAACCTCATCAAGTTCCCTCTCGAAATGGCATTGAGCTCTGCTTCTGAGCCGCCTTATAACTCCCCCCCTAGGATCCAATCCTTTGTCATTCATGATATTTGCATTCGATTGTTAATTTATGAAGTCACAATCCGCATGTCTATTAACATACCGAAGGGTAATGTGCCCATTGCGCTTCATGCATGAATATGTAAGTGCATCTCAATGTGTAATTGTGCGCTTATTTTTAATAAATGGAAAAACACGTTCCCCATGCCCTCCATTGTCCTCGATTTAAAGTGAATGCAGCCCCGTGCGTTGCCAAAAACCGCCAAGCTTCGGGAGTGAGCACGTACAGACGCGTAGTGACCACACTTGCAATACAATCACTCTAACATCAGTAACCAAAATCCGATCTGGTACATGGTCTCCGCTTGGTCTGGTTTGTATCCGTCATCACTCCGGAGACAAACAGCGAGGCATGGTTTGGCCAGCCACCACTCGTTTGCCAAAGCGACTTTAATAGCTGCTCTCACACAATACTATCACCAATGGTGGTTACAGGCTAGGCTGTTAAGCGGACAATCAGTCGTTTTGGGCAAGGCGCATGGGATAATACACACCTCTGTTATCCCGAAACACAATACACAGCATCGGTAAGGCTGCCTGTTGGGGAGATGTAGCTTGGGTAAGGTGCTGTCACTGGAGTTAGGCGATGTGACTGGGTTATCACACGGATTCCGAAAAGCAGCTTCGACGATACGATCCACTGTGCTCCATGTCCCCACATGAACGACGACATTCAGAGTTTAAAAAAGTGAAATATATATTTGTAAATACGTTTTTAAAATAATGTGTATTGTATCTATGTTACAAATTTGTGTTTGTTATACTCATTATTTGTGTATACTGTATATACTTATATGGCTATTCGATTCCATTGATACGACACATTCATCCAACAGTGGAAAGTGTGATTCTAATACGAGTGGGATTCGAATAATTGTAATTCGATTCTAATCCTGCATATCCTACCCCCGGTTGGCATATTAACTTACCATACGTACAACCACAGTGTGATTCTAATTAGCTCAGTGCGATTCTAATGATTAGTATGCGATTATAATCCCACACCTCCAATTATGTGGTTCTGCACTATAACAGTTAATCGTATTTTAAAGCGTAACAATGGCTAGGTTGTAGTTCATAGGTTATAATATATATTTCACTATGTTAGAATTTAACATGTGAGAGTCTACAATGTCAGAGTTGATCAAGAGCGTCAATCTTGATCGACGCAGAAGCAAATGCAGCAGCAGCAACATCACATTTCGAGGGCGACGCAGCTACTTCTGATTCTGCTGCTTCCGCTGCTCAGATATTTGTTGCCAGGCCCTGCTCTCGCGGGACCCCACACGTCTTTGGAAATGATTGAGATGATGTCTGTGCTGATAATTAAATTAATAAAGAGTACTTTGTTTGGGTGTATAGGTCTGTGTCATCGGGGATCAGCGAACACTGCTTATGAATGAACTCGCACACCTTTATGACCGACATTGTACTTATTTTCGTTGATCGAGACGAACAAGGCACGTGCCATGTCCAGACGAATTGATATTAACAATATTGTCCTTAAATATAATGCTAACACTGGATTAACGTTAACACTGGGATTAAACATGCACATTTTAAAACCCTGCCTCGCATTTATGACTAACTATTCGCATTTGCACATAACATATATTCAAGCACAGTAAAATGCGCATACGAACATATTGTTACTAGAATAATTTGAATGCGATTCTAACCCTGCAAACCCCCACAGTTCGCATATCCGTCCCCCGATTCGATTGAACGTACACTTTACATACATATGAGCGATCAAAATGCTTCTAATGACATTCTCATACCGTAACTTCGTTTATGGTGGAATCTATTAGAAAAACATTTTTACAGTCGTTTAATGTTTAGTGTTATGTTCATAGTGTTATCAGTTTACATGTTATAGAGTAAAGGTGATCCCCCGTATACTTCGGGTTTCGGGACCAGGAACGTTGTGAAACGATTTACAACGAGGAAATGTCCCTGTCTGAGCGCAAGCCGCTAATGAAAGAACACGGGGCGGCGGGAACACGTGCTTCCATGAGCGGTCGTAGACAGGTTGTGTTGCCCAAAGGTGACACCGGGTACGTCCACCAAGTTGCTCCGCCCACGGCGGCGACAGGTAGAAGTCATAGAGGTGACATGGCCGCAGTGTGTACGCATGTTGTTATGTCCGTCCCCACCCAGACAGCTCATCCCCATGTCCTGTACAGGCCAAGTCTGGTGTGTCCGACGTGGTGGGGCGCTCGGCAACGGAAACCGTACGCCAAAAGGAAATGTGTTGTGGCGCCCACAGTTTCTGAGCCCCTGAGGCCCGGGGTGCCTCAAGGAATCCGCCACGTGCGAGGAACCGGTGCCTGGAGCCTGGTCAAATTCTCCAAAAGAAGCCAGGGACCTGCCTAATCCTTCAAGGCTGTGGTGTGAACCCTTGACGCCCCGACATGCACAAGATTCTACCATGGGCGCGGGACCGGCGGCGAGAACCAGTTCAAAATGCGCAAGGTTGCGCTTGTAGGCTCCATGCCCAATATCAATGCTGTATATTGCTATGCGGTGCCATTGCGATGGAACATTCTACCAGCAGTGGGCAGCTTGATTCTAATACGACCATGGTGCGATTTTAATAATGTTGATGCAATTCTAAATCTGGCACCACCCAGGCACAATTTACTACTCCCGATGTGCATCTACATTTAACATACATTCTAGCTCAGTGTTATTCGAATACTACCAAAGTGTTATTATAATCGTTTTAATCCGATCATAATCCTGCACCCCCCAATTCGGCATATCCGACCACCGGTTCGCATGTCCAAAGGCCATAGATGCATATTACATACGTACATACGAGCACAGTTCACTTGCACGTACGCTATACATACATATGCGCAGAGTATGATTTTAATACGATCACGTTGAAATTCTACTGCTTGTAATGAGATTATGATACCGTACCTCTGTTTTTGGTGTTATAAATGATTAAACTAGTGTATAGTAGTTTAAATGTTTCGTGTTATCGTTTATAGTGTTACAGTTCACGTGTCTTAGCGTACAGGATTCCCTGTATACTTGATGATAGGGACCGTAACGTTGTGAATCGATAAATAATGGGGCCCTTTCCCCTCCAGGGACACATGTTAATGGGGAGACAGCCAAGATGCTGCCGGTTAAGGGCAGATTTGTGTGACGAAGATCCTCCACCTGAAACTCGCTTAAAACACGTTGTTGATATGAATAAATAAACGGACACACATTTGTTTAAAAAATCGTTTTTATTCATCTGCAATCATTTTAAGTCAAAACTCGAACCGAATGTATTATGTCCAATGTTCAAACAGTTACAATACAATGCAAACCATATCCGTTCCAGGAATACCAACGCGTTAAAGTATCATTCCCCATGATTTCCTTATTAGTTCACCACATTTGTTCACTGTGCGTCTATGTTGAAGTCAATGCCATATATCCAACGAACGCGTCATCAATGTACATCCTGAAACAGGCTATCTAAAGTCGATTAATACCAATCAAAAAAAGCTATATACTTGAAAAAAACACCGTTTAAAATGTTGAGTAAAGATGTACCTACAGACGCATTCCAACTTTAGCTCAACAGGAACACTTAACGACTACAATTGAACCCTCTCACAACCAGTGCTCTTCACACCAATTCGGCAAGTAATCCGATAACATAACAACCACCACTGTGCACGTAATTAAACTCTCAAAAAAACTGTAAAACTAAAATGGTCAAATTACACACAAAAGTACTCGAAACGGCTTAATAGGTATAACCACATGACGTAATATTTTGTCAGTCACCCCGAGCTCTCTGTTTGATCCTCGAGCCACTCCATTACATCCAGCCATCTCTCGGGATCCAACTGCATGGGATCGAAGGTGGAAACTTCTTCAGGACTCATTGCAGCACCTTGAATTTCAGCTTTTGATTTCAGTTTCCTATCATTGTGGACCTTCTGATGCCTGTTCCTGGTTGATGAGTGTGCAAATTTCTTCCCACACACAGAGCACAGGAATGGCTTCTCGCCCGTGTGTGTTCTCTGATGACTATTAAGAGTTGATAAGTCTGCAAATGCCTTCCCACACACAGGGCACAGGAATGGCTTCTCGCCCGTGTGTGTTCTCTGATGACTATGAAGAGTTGATGAGTCTGCAAATGCCTTCCCACACACAGGGCACAGGAATGGCTTCTCGCCCGTGTGCATTCTCTGATGAGTTTGAAGAGTTGATGACCGTGCAAATGCCTTCCCACACACAGGACACAGGAATGGCTTCTCGCCCGTGTGCGTTCTCTGATGAGTTTGAAGAGTTGATGACCGTGCAAATGCCTTCCCACACACAGGGCACAGGAATGGCTTCTCGCCCGTGTGCGTTCTCTGATGAGTTTGAAGAGTTGACGACCGTGCAAATGCCTTCCCGCACACAGGGCACAGGAATGGCTTCTCGCCCGTGTGCATTCTCTGATGAGTTTGAAGAGTTGATGACCGTGCAAATGCCTTCCCACACACAGGACACAGGAATGGCTTCTCGCCCGTGTGTGTTCTCTGGTGTCTCTGAAGACTTGATTGCCGTGCAAATGCCTTCCCACACACAGAGCAATTGAATGGCTTCTTGTCTCCGTGTGCGTGGGGCTGTGGAGAGCGTCTCTGCTCCATGTGAGCTTAGTAACAGCAGCGGTGTTATCGAGTCAAAAGTACGCTATCGGCCGCAAGGATGTTTAACACTCGCGTCGAACCGAGACGCAAAAAAATCCCGCTAATTGACGACGAACACATTTAAGAGTTTATCCGCGAAAATAGACACTTACTTGGAGCTTCACGGTAATTCGATGTCTGGAACCCGTCTGAAGATGTCGCCACGAACTCTCCCGACGCAAAGTCGCCTAACTGTCGACACAGCAATTGTGCTCGCCAGGCTGCGTTGTCTCGCGGTTGAAGGGCGATCAGCAGAGCGACGAGTCGAGCGTCCAACCTCATCAAGTTCCCTCTCGAAATGGCATTGAGCTCTGCTTCTGAGCCGCCTTATAACTCCCCCGCTAGGATCCAATCCTTTGTCTTTCAGGATATTTGCATTCGATTGTTAATATTGGAAGTTACAATCCGCATGTCTATTAACATACCGAAGAGTTATGTGCCCATTGTGCTTCATGCATGAATATGTAAGTGCATCTCAGTGTGTAATTGTGCGCTTATTTTGAATAAATGGAAAAACACGTTAACCCTGCCCTCCATTGTCCTCAATTTAAAGTGAATGCAGCCCCGTGGCGTTTCCAAAAACCGCCAAGCTTCGGGAGTGAGCACGTACAGACGCGTAGTGACCACACTTGCAATACAATCACTCTAACATCAGTAACCAAAATCCGATCTGGTACATGGTCTCCGCTTGGTCTGGTTTGTATCCGTCATCACTCCGGAGACAAACACGAGGCATGGTTTGGCCAGCCACCACCTCGTTTGCCGCAAGCGACTTTAATAGCTGCTCTCAAACAACACTATCAACAATGGTGGTTTACAGGCGAGGCTGTTTAGCGGACAATCAGTCGTTTTGGGCAAGGCGTATGAGAAAATACACACCAAAAACACAATATACAGCAGCGGGAAAGCTGCCTTGTTGGGGGATGTAGTTTGTGTAAGGCGCTGTGACTGGAGTTAAACATTCGCTGCTTGACCAAGTCGACAGCAGCGGAGACGATCCGATCCACCGTGCTCTATCTCCCCACAAGGTCCACGAAATTCTCATTTTTTAAAATGCACGTATGTTTTTCAAATCACATGAAATGTAATTATGTTATAATATGTGATTGTTATACACTTGATATGTTTACATACCGTTTATAACTATTCGATTAAATTAACATGATATTCATCCAACAGTGGGCAGTTTTATTCTAATACGACTACAGTGGGATTTTAATAGTTGAAATGAGATTCAAATCTTGCAAATCCTACCCCCGGTTCGCAATCACTTAACATGCATATGGGCACAGTGTGATTCTAACATTATCACAGTGCGATTATAATTATTATTATGCGATTATAATAACGAACCTCGATTTATGTTGCTCAAAACTAATAATACCGTACCTCTGTTTTGGTGTTATAAATGATGAAACTAGTTAATAGATTATAGTATTTTAATTATTTTTGTTATCGTTGATAGTGTTACAGTTCACATGTCATACTTGATGATTAGAGACCGTAACGTTGCGAATAGATTTATAATGGAGACTTTCCCCTTGAAGGACACATGTTAATGGAGAGACAGCCAAGACACTGCCGGTTAAGGACAGATTTGTGTGACGAAGATCCTCCAACTGAAACTCGTTTAAAACACGTTTTTGCTATGAACATTGTAAAATAAATAAACGGACAAACATTTGTTAAAATACGTTTTTTTTAATCTGCAATCATTTTTACGTTAAAACTCCAACCGAATATGTATTGAGTTCAAACAGTTACAGTACAATGCAAACCATATCCGTTCCAGGAATACCAAAGCGTTAAAGTATCATTCCCCATGATTTCCTTATTAGTTCACCACATTTGTTCACTGTGCGTCTATGTTGAAGTCAAGGCCAATATCCAACGAACGCGTAATCAATGTACATCCTGAAATCGGCTATCTAAAGTTGATTAATACCAATAAAAAAAGCTATATACCACTGATCATCACACCACTTCACCAAGTAATCCGACAACATCAAAAATCACCACCTGCACGAACTGTAAAACTAAAAGGTCAGAATTACACACAAAGTTTCTTAATCCGGCTTAATAAGTAAACAACCCTCGCTCTCGGTTTGATCCTCGAGCCACTCCATTACATCCAGCCATCTTTCAGTATCCAACTGCATGGGATCAAAGGTGGAATTATCTTCAGGAATCATTGCAGCACCTTGAATTTCACCTTTTGATTTCAGCTTCCTATCATCGTGGACCTTCTGATGCCTCTTCCGTTTTGATGACTGTGCAAATGCCTTCCCACACAGAGAGCACAGGAATGGCTTCTCGCCCGTGTGTGTTTTCTGATGGCGTTGGCAGTTTGCTGAAAGTGAAAATGCTATCCCACACACAGGGCACAGGAATGGCTTCTCGCCCGTGTGTGTTTTCTGGTGAGTTTGAAGAGTTGATGAGTGTGCAAATGTCTTCCCACACACAGGGCACAGGAATGGCTTCTCGCCCGTGTGTGTTTTCTGGTGAGTTTGAAGATTTGATGAGTCTGCAAATGTCTTCCCACACACAGGGCACAGGAATGGCTTCTCGCCCGTATGTGTTCTCTGATGACTCTGAAGAGTTGATGACTGTGCAAATGTCTTCCCACACACAGGGCACAGGAATGGCTTCTCGCCCGTGTGTGTTCTCTGATGACTCTGAAGATGTGATGACTGTGCAAATGTCTTCCCACACACAGGGCACAGGAATGGCTTCTCGCCCGTGTGTGTTTTCTGATGGTCTTGAAGAGTTGACGAGTGTGCAAATGTCTTCCCACACACAGGGCACCGGAATGGCTTCTCACCAGTGTGTGTTCTCCGATGACTCTGAAGATGCGACGAGTGTGCAAATGCCTTCCCACATACAGAGCACACGAATGGCTTCTCGCCCGTGTGTGTTTTCTGATGGCGTTGGCAGTTTGCTGAAAGTGAAAATGCTATCCCACACACAGGGCACAGGAATGGCTTCTCGCCCGTGTGTGTTTTCTGGTGAGTTTGAAGAGTTGATGAGTGTGCAAATGTCTTCCCACACACAGGGCACAGGAATGGCTTCTCGCCCGTGTGTGTTTTCTGGTGAGTTTGAAGATTTGATGAGTCTGCAAATGTCTTCCCACACACAGGGCACAGGAATGGCTTCTCGCCCGTATGTGTTCTCTGATGACTCTGAAGAGTTGATGACTGTGCAAATGTCTTCCCACACACAGGGCACAGGAATGGCTTCTCGCCCGTGTGTGTTCTCTGATGACTCTGAAGATGTGATGACTGTGCAAATGTCTTCCCACACACAGGGCACAGGAATGGCTTCTCGCCCGTGTGTGTTTTCTGATGGTCTTGAAGAGTTGACGAGTGTGCAAATGTCTTCCCACACACAGGGCACCGGAATGGCTTCTCACCAGTGTGTGTTCTCCGATGACTCTGAAGATGCGACGAGTGTGCAAATGCCTTCCCACATACAGAGCACACGAATGGCTTCTCGCCCGTGTGTGTTTTCTGATGGCGTTGGCAGTTTGCTGAAAGTGAAAATGCTATCCCACACACAGGGCACAGGAATGGCTTCTCGCCCGTGTGTGTTCTCTGATGGTCTTGAAAAGTTGATGACTGTGCAAATGCCTTCCCACACACAGAGCACAGGAACGGCTTCTCGCCCGTGTGTGTTCTCTGGTGTCTCTGAAGATGTGATGGCCGTGAAAAGGACTTCCCACACACAGAGCAATTGAATGGCTTCTTGCCTCCGTGTACGTGGGGCTGTGGAGAGCCTATCTGCTCCATGTGAGCGTAGTAACAGCAGTGGTGTTATCGAGTCAAAAGTACGCTATCGGCCGCAAGGATGTTTAGCGTTGAGTTTAATATTTCGTTAAATGCTAAAACAAGAACGACACTCGCGTCTAACCGAGACGCAAAAAAACCCGTAAATTTGACGACGAACACGTTTAAGATTTTATCCGCGAAAATAGACACTTACTTGGAGATTCACGGTATTTCGATGTCTAGAACCCGTCTGAAGATGTCGCCACGAACTCTCCGGACGCAAAGTCGACTAACTGTCGACACCAGCAATTGTGCTCACCAGGCTGCGTTGTCTCGCGGTTGAAGGGCGATCAGCAGAGCGACGAGTCGAGCGTCCAACCTCATCAAGTTCCCTCTCGAAATGGCATTGAGCTCTGCTTCTGAGCCGCCTTATAACTCCCCCCCCTAGGATCCAATCCTTTGTCTTTCAGGATATTTGCATTCGATTGTTAATTTTGAAGGCACAATCCGCATGTCTATTAACATACCGAAGGGTAATGTGCCCATTGTGCATCATGCATGAATATGTAAGTGCATCTCAGTGTGTAATTATGCGCTTATTTTGAATAAATGGAAAAACACGTTCCCCATGCCCTCCATTGTCCTCGATTTAAAGTGAATCCAGCCCCGTGGCGTTGCCAAAAATCGCGAAGCTTCGCGTGTGAGCACGTACAGACGCGTAGTGACCACACTTGCAATACAATCACTCTAACATCAGTAACCAAAATCCGATCTGGTACGTGGGTCTCCGCTTGGTCTGGTTTGTATCCGTCATAACTCCGGAGACAAACAGCGAGGCATGGTTTGGCCAGCCACCAACTCGTTTGCCAAAGCGACTTTAATAGCTGCTCTCAAACAACACTATCACCAATGGTGGTTTATAGGCTAGGCTGTTAAGTGGATAATCAGTCTTTTTGGGCAAGGCGTATGGGATAATACACACCTCTGTTATCCCATAAACACAATACACAGCAGCGGTAAGGCTGCCTTGTTGGGGAGATGTAGCTTGGGTAAGGTGCTGTCACTGGAGTTAGGCGATGTGACTGGGTTATCACACGGATTCCGAAAAGCAGCTTAGACAATACGATCCACTGCGCTCCATCTCCCCACATGAACGACGACATTCTGAGTTTTAAAAAAAGTGGAATATATATTTGT